AAAGACTAATATTTACCTAGTTCAATGTGAAAGTTCTGAGCAACTTTAAGAAATTGTTAGGGGCTGGCCAAATAACTCAGTGGATTAAAGCACCTGCAAGCAGGTACAGGGGCTGGGGGTTCAATCCCCAGGCTTGTCATGCCAGCTCCACCCCTGGGGCACGCTGAGACTGCAATTGAGACTGGGCATGGTGGCTCACATTTGTAATCCCAGCTTTTGGGATTACAATTACTATGAGTCCAATCTAGTAGTGAGACCCTGAACACCCTGTAGACCCTTCCCTAAAATACAAAAAAAATTATTGCTAGTTATTATACACTATAGAATACATTTTGCTCTTTAAAAAATTTTTTTTAAAAGAAAATCAAGTACCTTATCTATCCATGTAAGCACCAAATTGGATGTAGATCCCACTATAGGGGAGGTACAGTGAGCAGAAATTATGCGAATAGGTAAGATTTGTTCTTCTAGAACATTTGTTTTAAAGGCTATAACATGATGAAAAAATAAAACAAAACAAAAAACAGAGAATGGGTATCAGAAGATTGGAAGTAATGAGAAGAGCTTAGGTGTGAGATAATGGTGATTCGAATTAGAATAGTAATGATGTAAAGTGAGTGGATTTGGTTAAAGTCAAACAGATGAGTCCAACAAATTTAAGGGCAGAACAAATGACTGATGATCATAAAACATATGAAGTTTTACTTTCTTTCTTTCTATTTTTTTTTTTTTTTTTTGGTGGAACCAGGGATTGAACTCAGGCCCTTGTGCTTGCCAGGAAAGCACTTATTCTACTGAGCCATTTCCCCAGCCCCAAAGTTTTGTGGGGCTTCTTCATATATACCCTCTTTTTTTAATCCAAGCAATTTTTCTGACTCACTTTTGACCAGTAGAACACATGGAGTCATGGAGTAACAATCTTTATGATTTCTGCAGTTGAGTCATTAAAGAAGTATAATTTATGCTTTATTTGCTTGAACACTCTTTCTGGAGTTCTGAGTCTGTGTGTGAGAGGTCCAAATTGGCTGAGAGTGCCATGTTGTGAAGAAGCTCAAACAGCATATCAAAACACAAATACATACACTCACACATTTGACATTTCAGGTCTAAACAGTGAGTGTAGAACATACTTGGAGGTGGGATTCTTTGCAGGGTTACCGGCCTCTGGTCCTTTCTTTTGAGCTATTGCTTCTGTCTTCAGTTACTTCTGCTTTTGACTCTCATGTTTGTGATCCCAGATGAGTCATAGTACCTTTGTCTAACGAGCAGACTTTAATGGGCCTGACTTGAATAATAAATATTCAGGGAATTGTAGGCCTCCCATCCAAGTACTAACCAGGCTCCGTTGCTTAGCTTCTGGATCGGAAGTGACTGAGTGCATTCAAGGTGGTACAACTGTAGACAAATGTAGTTCTCTGACTAATGGAGGTTCTGTGTCCTTTCATGTCTGCAAAGTCAAGCAGAGAACAGTCTCCTCAAACAGCCAAAAGCAAATTTTCCTTGTAAGACCAAAAGGAACTTTCATTTCACTCCCTGAAATTTGACAATTTGAGTCCACAGAAGAAACTGACAAAAACAGAATAACAGGAGAGAAGGCATATCGATTTAACCTTCACACTCATGAGAGTAACAAAGTGAAACTCAAGAAAAAGACGATTGAAGCTCATATATTTATTTCTTAGGGGAGAGGTTAGTGAAGACTAAGCTATATTATGAGAATACAGTAATTTTTTAGGGGAGATGAAGAATCCAAAGAAGAGAGGCTGGGGAGATCACTCAGTAGAATAAGCGCTTGCCTGGCAAGTACAAGGGTCTGAGTTCAATCCCCGGTTCTGCCAAAAAAAAAAAAAAAAAAATTCCAAAGAACAGAAAATAACCTTGGACAAAATTCACCTGGGCTGTGAGTATGGTGTCTATTCTAGTTTTTCTAAATCTTCTAGAGGATTTGGACTTTATATAGATAGGAGAACTACAGAATTTATTAATTCTGCTTTCCAGAGAAAATCCCCTGGAAAGCAGAATTAATAAATATTCTAGTTACTAAAATTGTTAATTTGTGGTATAAACTAACTTTCTATTGTCTACGTCAGGCTTTATGTTTTACATGAGCCAATTACTACAAAAATCTTCCAGTTTACAAAGTAGAAGCCAAATCCCAAGTTTTACACCCTGTAATAACTGGAGCAATAATTGGCCCTGTGTTCACATAAAACATACATGTATCTATTTACTTTTTCCTTGACAATTATTATAATTAAAATAAGAAAAATTAAATTTCTAATTAACAAAATAAGAAAAAGTCTATATCCTCTTACACTCTACCTTTTATACTGTGGTAAACACTCAAGACAAAATAATGGTTAATATTAGTGATAATTTTGCATGCCTGTATCTGGTAATCTGAGCAACTACTTTAAAGGTAACAATGTGCTTTATAGTAACCACTGTTATTTTCCTATCATCTTGTTTTGAAATTCTGTATTATTTTTGTTGTTTTTTCTCTCTTTAAAATAAAAAAATTGGAGACAATTCATCATTATTCCTCTTTTAATTTTTGCTCCTTCCCTGTTCAATATGCTTGTAACATATTCCAGACTTTTCCATCTCCTAGTAAAATGGATGCTAACTTATGGTATATTAAAAAAAAAGTTGTGTATATATTCATGGCAACTCTGCAAATGTGTATCCTTCATTATAGGACCTACTTTTAATACAGAGGTTGCAATTGGGACTGTAGGACCACTCCCCTCCACTCATATGAACCTGGCAATACCTCAGGGCCAATCCCTCTAACCTTTGTCCTGAGGCCTACTAGCTGTAGGCAGATAAGAATAACAAAAACCTCTGGAAAATTCCAAAGGCTGGAATCAGGACACATGCATGCCAGATTCTCTGGCATGACTTGCTGCAACCTTTGTTCACTTGGAGCTTATTAAAGACTCATGCATATGGACTGAATCTCATACATCAATTATGACAGAATTCATTATGGGAAAGGGCATGCCCAGCAGACACAGCTGACGTGACTCAGCGCCCTGTCCACGCCTTTGTCAGTCATGCTCTGGAAAACTCAATGTGAGGCAGCCCAGATGCAGCCCAACAGTTTAAATTCTTAAACCAATCATCTTCAGCACTCATGCTGTTTTCCTTTCTTCCCTTTTGGGCCTACTGACTCTGATATGCTAACTAAATTTCATTAATCTTTGCTGCTTTTTCCTTACTATCACATGCCACATTCAATTCTGTGTTCATAAGGCAAAAGAACTAGAAAACCACTGCGGATCTGATCAACCATGGTAACACTTTTACAAATTAATGCAAGGTCAAGTTCTGCCTTAAAGTTCAGTGTTTTGTTGATAACAACCCTATTTTCCTATGTCTCCTTTAGGTCAATCAGGATGAAACATCTGGTCCCTGGATAATTCAGGCCAGCTCCATGGCCCCTGTAGGTGTGAAATAGTTGTTAAAAAAAAAAAAAAAAAAAAAAAGAATTTTTAAATTTTATACAACCCCTAACAATAAGGGATTAATGCCTCAGGTTGGATTTGGCTTGGTGAGGCAGGATAGAAGAAATATAGATAAAAAATAAGGAAAATTATAATATTAAAATTATATATTTTAAGAAAAGCTACAGTCCCAGAACACAAAAGTTATACAAGATTTTCCCCCTTTCAGGAAAAATTCCTCATTGTGCTTGCTATAGACAATAAGCCTAAAAGCTAGGCTCTAGACCTGTGTCTTTCACTTGTAAATCATGCTCCCTCTTGCCAACCACCTTCCTCAAGCTGTAGTCTATTAAAAGCACAGTGCATTTCAGCTTAGACACATTAAAATAGCTCCACAGACACTAGAATGCACACCCTAGATAACCCATCTCAGGGAATATCCCCAGCTCCCCATAAATATAACCACCTTAGTGCCACAGGATGCCTCTCTCCCTCCTGAGAGCATGAATGCACTTTATTTCTTTGAATGTACACTTTTAAAATTCTGCCTAATAAATCCATATATATATATATATATATATATATATATATATTTTAAAATTTTATGTATTTGGTACAGAGTCTCAATATGCAGCTTGGACTCATAGTGATCCTCCTGTTTTAGCCTCTCCAGAGCTGGGTTTACAGGTATGTGCCGCCATATTGGGCTTTGGTGGCCAGCTCGGTTCACCCGGGGCAGGGTCAGCATGGCATGTAGTGCCAGGGATTGAACCTGGGTCCTTGTACTTGCCTAGGCAGGTGCTTAGAGCACTGAGCTATCTCCATGGCCTGTCCTTTATACTCTTAAAAAAAGAAGAAAAAAAACACCTAGAATTGAGCAGGAGTGAAAAAGATTTTATTCAGGAACTGTTATAATAAATGGAAAAGAGACTGCAGTATAGAACTGGGTTCAACTCCAGACAAAAGATAGATAAGTGAAGATTTATAGCCAAGGATTGGGTATGACCAGTGGATGGGAAATTACTAAGCAACATCAAGGGCCTCTGATTAAATCACAGTGTAGAGTGGGAAATCCTGATACCTTTCTTCATTTATTTATTAAAATAAATCCTGGCTGACATTCTGATAGCAAAAGACATTTTAACAAGTGAAAAAGCTCAGCAAATTTACTTCACTAAATTTCACATGACATGGAAACTTCAGAAATGAAGATCCAAAGACCCAGAGAAAACTACTTTTATGCTTGAGTTTGATTATGAATAGATAGGTTAATAGGAATGTGATTGGACAGAGGCATCTAGCAAATGGACTGTGGTGGGGGGAACGCAGCACACCTCTGTCTAGATTTGTCTTGGTTTCTCTGTATAGTAGTCCTCTCTCATCCTGATACATAAGGCTGGATCCTCTGGAATGAGGATTTTTCACAGGGTAAAGGAGAAGGAAGAGAGTGACCTTTCCAGACTTTATGGCTTGCTTCAGGGAATAGAAGTTCTAGTTTCTATGACTCACTTTTGGGAAGAAGAATTTATTTTCTGAGAAATACTGTCTTTGAAACTCTCTCACACAAAGACATTCAGTTCAAAGTACTCAGCATGTCCAAGTGTCATACTTAGGATTATTTTGTCCTGAGTCCAACAACAGGATCTTGCTGAAGGCAGGGCAGAGTGATCACACACCACCTGAGGGATGATAAAGTGGAGGAATTTGATCAGATATACAAGGCTATTTCTAAAACGACAGGAGTCTTGCTAAATTTAGCTAATTCATGTCAGCAGGAATCCAGAACATACAATCAGCACTATAACCTTTGGGTCTTAGAGGCTTAGCATTAGATTGGGGCATGCTTCATAGTAGACAGGTCTTATGGCACTGCCGAAGGGGTTAAATGATTACATAGTGTATAATCATTAAAGTGGGTTTATTGAAAATATTCAGTATCTGCCAGCTATCATTATTTCTCTTTCATGATCATTTTCATGATTGTAGTCATATGATTACTTACATGATTATTCGTTAAACATGTTTCTCTCCTGAGATTTTAAAATTCAAGAAGACAATGATTTCTGCATTTATCACTTTACCTTCAATGCTAGCAGTGCTGGTAACATGGTAGTAGAGGTAGCACCAATTTATTCAGCAAGTTTTTGAATCAATGAGAGATTTAATGATGCCTTTTGTCTTTTTTTTTTTTTTGCCTTTTGTCTTTTAAGACGTGTATGTCAAAACAGTAATTACACGAGACCAAATGGATGGTAGAAATGGAAAGACTGACAATAAATTTGTTTCACAGCATTTTTATTTCTTTTCACAAAGTTCCCAGATGTGCTTAGAAAATTCATTGCCAACTTGTGGATTAGGATCTGGATGAATGATTTATTTGAAGACCATACATGGAACTAATTAGATCACAGTCACTGAATTTGCCAAACTTTTGAGTTGCTCCTAATTTAGTCATTTTCAAATAAACTTTACAACACATGTTTGAAAATAAGATATCTTTTCCTTACTTATCTGAAAGCATGTTTAAATCCCATGCCAAAAGACTTTAGGTTTGGGCCTAGAAGTAAGATTAGAAACAAAATATATTTAAGATTAACAACTTTTTAAAGTCCTAATTTCTAATGTTAAAGGAAACGAGAAACTGACAGCAGTTCAAAATGTGCTGCTGTCACTTGGGTGTCTACAGCAAAACATTGTACAAGTAGTTGCTTATAAATGGCAGAGTTTATAGTCTTCACACTTCCAGCAGCTGCAAATCCAAGAGTATGATGCTGCTCAATTCAGTAGTTGGTGAGGGACAACTTTCTGGATGTTGGAGATCTGTCTTCAAGATGCATCATGCGGTGAACATGTTGTAGACCTTAGGTATTTACTGCACACTCCTCAACCAAAAGACTCAAGGGGCTGAAATTAGTGGAAGGAGATAGTTTCATCCAAAGCCAACCTCAAAGAAAGTGGGACTTCTTGCTTCTAATTTCTATCTAGGGGGACTCAAATTTGAAGTGCTTTTCCAGAAGAAAAAAGGGGTACAAGAAATCCCCAAACTTGGCAATCTTCTTTAGACAGTATTTTCTCTCTCTTCAGCTTTGCAGCTCTTCTATTTGATCAGACCTGGACCTTGACCTCCTGGGACATCATCTAAATTTTCTTTTCAGACATACACATTACTTTTCTACCAGTCAATTCATATGAGGTAAGGAAAGAGTGCCTCTCTAGAACTCAGAATACCATATAAAAAGAAAGAGTTGTTAAAGGATTAAGAAAAAAGTTTAGGAAGGAAACATTCTGTTAAAAACCCCTTTGTCTTGCGAGGAGCTCAATAACAGGAGTGAAGGACCTCCCTGAGGGCTCTCATGAGATCATGAGAGCTCTTTTACAACCAAATCATCTCCAGAAGGTTGAGCTTCCTAAAATCACCATGTTGAGAATTAGAATTTCAACTTATAAATTGGCGGGGGAGGGTATTAGTATTCATACCAGAACAAGTGGTGAAAGCTGTTTTATTTAAGAACTAGTCCAATATGAAGAAAGAGACCTAAACTATAACTGGGTTCAATTCCAGATACATTATGATCTATGAGGACTCATCTGTGGTGCGGGACAGCACTGGGAGATGGAAAATTACTGTGAGGAGGCATCAGGTGCCCAGAATTTTTGCTGAAGGCAGGCTGGGGTGGCCAGACCTCACTGAGGATGGTACAGGATGAGGCATCTGATCACAGGTCAAGGGTGGTCAGATATAAGCGCTGGCATTCTCTACAATCAACTTAGCAGCATCCTCATGGAAAGTGGGCTTTATTAGTCTGATAGGGATGGGTCCAAGTTGAGAAAAATATGTAGAGGACCAGAAATCAAATTTAGGTACGGAGAGAGGTTGGCTTTTTTTTGTTTTTGCATTTTTTTGTATTTTTAGGACAGGGTCTGCAGGGCCTATGGGGGGGTCTCACTGCGTAGATTGGACTCACAGTGACCTTTCTGTTTACAGCCTCCCAAGTGCTGGGATTATAGGTGCGCACCACCATGCCCAGTCTCAATTGCAGTCTCAGCGTGCCCTGAGGGTGGGGCCAGCACAGCAGGCCCAGGGGATCAAATCCTACCCCCTGAGTCTGCTTACAGGTGCTTTAATCCACTGAGCTATTTGGCTGGTCCAGGGAGAAAGTTCTTGTTGCTTACAAAATCTTTTTTCCCCCTTCACCATCCCCACCCTCCCCAGGATATTAACCAAAAGTTAAAAATTGTTAGAATTACACAAATAAAGAAACACATTTTTTTCTTCAACCCTCACAGGTTCTTAGTTGAAATCACCCCATGACAAAAGATATTAACCAGAGAAAGGTGTTAATCAATATGCATGTTTCAAAAATACATGAGTGACAACAAAGTAACGAAATAGCCTTGAATTCCAAGAAGTATCTTCAACAAAGAAACATCAATTTTTAAAGAAATGACAGAACAAAGGAAAACACTTTGAGTCTATATGGGTGGCAAATGGGAGAAGAAAACAAAAATAAGTCAACAACAACAACAGGAACAACAAAATGTTGACACATAGAAGCTGGAAAGCTAGCTTATTAAGGCAAAGTCTCTGCTCTGGGCTCACGGGACTGCCACCTTCTTTGCAGTGCTCCGCCTGGTAGAAGGAGAATGATATTTTTGGTCTACAAGTCTGTGTCCTGCTTGTAGACAAGTAGAGGGAAGGCACAGAACACTCCTATACCTAATTTTTCCTAATTTCCTTCAGCTTAAGATCCTTTTTATTTAAGAATGGAACATTCTGGTCTCTGGCATTATAAACTATTACTTCAGGGTAGATGCCTTACAACTTATCATTCAAATACATAAACAAAACTAGTGGCAGATTTTTGAAATATCTTAAATGTGATGAAATCCAGGTTCATCTATTAGAGAAAAACTACCATTAAGGGGAAGACTTTGAAACTGAAATATGCAGTACTATAGCACTTGGTGTATAACCCTGGGCAAATTTGTAGGATAGAAATAGAGAAGCATTGGGCTGCCAATCAGTGATTATTAAGGCACTTAGATTAAGAATATAGGGGCTGGGGAGATAGCTCAGTGGCAAACGTGCCTGCCGAGCAAGCACAAGGTCCTGAGTTCAATCCCCGTACCAAAAAGAATTTTATTTTATTTTATTTATTTATTTATTTATTTATTTATTTATTTTGCAGAAACGGGGATTAAACTCAGGCCCTTATGCTTGCCATGGAAGTGCTTATTCCACTGAGCCATCTCCCCCACCCCTACCAAAAATAATTTTAAAAATTAAAAAAAATATAATCTTTATAGAACTAATTTCATTGCCATCTCTTAACAGCATACATATTTCAAAATTGTGAGATTTATGTTAAAGGGAAGTATGGGTCATTGTGTGTCATTGCCTAACAATCATAAACATGTCTCTGGAATGAGAAGTGTAAGTCTCCCATCCTGTCACAGGTTGATGGTGGCCAAATGACTTGAGCTCAAAAGGTGCTCTTCGGAAAGTAGTGCTGCACAGGTGTCTCCAGGGAGAAACTCTCCTGCCAGAACTCATTTTGATATTCCTTTGGCTCAGAGCTTTGGCTGAGACTGGAAGCCAGAGATGTTAAGCACCCCTGCATTAATAGTGCTAGACTGTCGGTGCCAGACTGGCAGAAGGGTTGCTCTCAGACCTGTGTTGCCTGAGGCAGCTCACCCACCCAGCTTCAGAGTACATGCGAGAGGAAGCTGTGTGCCCTGTAGCCCAGCGAGGGGGAGACAGAGTCACTTTCCCCTCCGTGTGAGCCAAGTGACAAGAAACATCTGGGAAAACAAACAGGAGCTTGATCTGGGCCTTGGAGCTTGTGTGGTACAAGACTTGGTGTCAGACTGTCTTTGTCCCGGTAGTTCTTTTCCAATGGTCCCTCCCCAAATCTGTGACAGTCCTTTAAAATAAAATCTTTCTTCACTAAGTCTGAGTTTGTCTTCACTTGTCAGGATTTGCAGAAGCCAAGTGAGAAGGAATCAGTGCAAGGTTGGGTCAGTTGGTGGAAACTTTGGGTCAGTTTTGGGGAACACTCCCTGGTAGAGAGGTGAGAGAACACAGAAGGCTTGGCATGGGGTGATGTCCCCAAAGGACTAGAAAAATCAGCACACACAGGGAATCAGGTCAACAGTGTCAGGTTATAGCTGTCTTGAAAACTTTAGTACTAGAGAAGAAAAAACATTTTATGTTGAATGGCAATTCTGAAGCTTTTTGTTTTGTTCTTTTTTGTTTGTTTTGTTTTTTGAGACAAGGTCTCACTATGTAGTCCTGGCTGGCCTTGAGCTTGCTTATATAGCTCAAGCTGTCCTCAGACTCACCAGCAGTCTTCCCTCCTCAGCTTCCCAATGCTGGAATTTCAGGCATGTGCCACCACACCTGGCTCAATTCTGAGTTTTGATATGACATTTGACTGGACAGTTTTGAAATCTAAAGATGAGTAGAAAATTTTTATTAACTGACAGGGCCTGAAAAAGGGAAGATCTAATTATAAATCTCTTTTAGGAAATAGAACATTTATTCCTCAGAATATCTTTGATGGCACAGTGTTAGAAAAGTACAATGTTTTGTTGTCAACAAATGCCTATGGACCTACAGGAATTCCATAGTACCACACATTGTCAACTATTTTCTTTTTGACTAAAATGAGGAAAAGAGAAAAGTGAGTGTTATACCTTGTAGCTAATGTCTTCCTCAAAGCTTCATGGCCTCACAGGTAGAACTTCTCAGAGGTAGCTGTGAAGAAGAAATAGGTGTATTTTACAGGGCTGTCCTCTGTCCAACAGATTGGATCACAGTAGTTTCTCCTGCGTGGGACGCATTCCCAATCCCTGCTCCAGCCCAAGCCACACTTTGATAGACTTACAGGGGGGATTCACAGTTCTCTAAACCCACAAGTTCTGCGGCTGCTTCTGCTCTTTCTCCCTTGCCTCTGCTCCCTAATTTGTGGTGCCTGTCCCCAACCCATCTTCTTAGGCTAGACTCCCTACCCACTTGAGGAGGGCCAGATGGCTACAGTTAGAAATCTGGCATTTTTTAATAACTGCTTTTGTTTGTGCTCATTTTTTCCCACCACAAACTTAATTAAGACCTTTGTGACACTCCCTTCAGGGCTCAAAAGTTGCAGAGTGTGAGCATCTCTGAACCAGGCTAGCCAAGTGAAAGGTCATTCTCCACCCTTCTGGAATGTACTCTTGGTTCTTTAGCCATCTGAAAAAGTCTGGTGTCCTGCTTTCCACAACAGTTGGATCTAGCATGTGTGGTGCTGGGACTGAGGATGTGATCCTGGGATTTATTCACGTGTAATGCTAAGATTAAAGGTGTGAGTGATCTGCCCCACCCCAAGGGCAGGTAGCTGGCTAACACTACATAAGAGACAGAGGGTTGCTGTGGTCATTGCTTGTTGTTGCTGTTTTAATGTATTTAGGACAGGGTCCAGAGGGTCTCACTACTCAGATCGAACTCGTAGTGATTCTCCTGTTTACAGCCTCCCAAGTGCTGGGATTATAGGTACACACTACCACGTCCAGTCTCAGTCACCATCTCAGTGTGCCCCAGGGGCAGGGCTGGCATACCAGGGATTGAACCCCAGCTGTTGTGCTTTGCCTAAGCAGGTGCTTTAGTTCACTGAGCTATCTGGCCAGCCTGTCACTGCTTATTTACTGTCACTTGCTGCTAGCTGTGTGCTGCCTTCAGCCTGCCATTACGTGTTTCTCCTCTGTGATGCCCTTCTGCCACACCACCCTGCCTTGCAGCCAGCTGACTATGGCATGAAATCTCTACAAACTGTAAGCTAAACTTTTCCTCCTTTAACTTTAAGTGTTATGTATTTTTTCTGAGCAACAAGAAAAAGTAACTAAGACAGTTGAGTACACTAATTATAATTATGTAAAACAATTTCTGTTGTTAACTAAATATACTTTGAATATCTGCTTTACATTAGGCATTGGAGGGATACAGCCAGTTGTCTTGGTCACTGTGGGAGATGGCTATGATGACTAATTTTATGTATCAACATAGGCAAGAGGTGCAAATGTGTTCCCCTTTGTTTGTTGTATTTTGGTAAGCATTTATAGGGTCTCACTATACAGATTGGACTCGTAGTGATCTGGGTTGTTCAGCCTCCCAAGAGCTGGGATTACAGGGGTGTGCCACCATGCCCAGCCTCAATCGCTGACTCAGCGTGCCCTGGGGGTAGGGCCAGCACAGCATTCTGGGGGATCAAACCCCCAGCCCCTGTGTCTGCCTGAACAGCACTTTAATGCTCTGAGCTATCTGGCCGGCCCTCTGTGAGGCTGTTTCTTCCTAATGTGAACATTTGAATTGGCAGACTGAGTAAAATATGTTGCTCTTCTTAACATGAGTAGGTATTGTACCTCTAAAATCTTGTTAACTGGATTATGAAACTCCTATGAAGGTGATTGGTTCATCAAGGCCTAGTACTTCTCAGTGGATTAATCTATTGATGTTCATAGCTACATATGATGTCATCAGGTGGGTCCAGGTAGAAGAGATGGGTTGCTGAGATCACACATTTGGAGGCACAGCCCTCCCTCTGCGCTCTGTTTCCCAGCTTTACTTTACTGTGTTCTCCTTGATGCTCTTGTGTTGGAGCCAATCGGGAACTGAAACCATGAACCCAAATGAAACCTTCTTTAAGTAACAGCTATCAAGTACTTCGTCCCAGCAATGAGAAAGGCGAGCAATGCAAGCAACATACAATCAATCTGAAGAGCAAAAACTTGAGAAAGAGGAAATTATTGATGCCTGATTCCTTGAACTAGTACATGGGAGTTTTTTTTTTCTGTTTTCATATTTGGAACAAAGCTGTAAAGTAGGTTCATTGAGAGTTGTGAGCCCATAAAACTAGACCATATACCACCCAATCAGGTGTGTCTCTGGGCTTTGGGTTTGGATTGGAACATTATCACCTTCCTGGGTCTCCAGATGTCCACTAGAACTTGGGATGTTATGACTTCCATAACTATAATAAATAACAAACCAGAAAGACCCAGGTACATTGCTTCTAAATTTATGACTCGAAAAAACTGAGATAATGCATGTTCATTGTTTTAATCCAGTAACTTTTAGAGTGATTTATCATGCAATGGTAGATAACTAATACATTTCATTCTATAGGTGAAGAAGTTATGTCACTGAGGGGTTAAATAATTTGACTAGTATCCTCCAGCTATAACTCAAATTGAAAAACCAGTTTTAACTCACATTGTCTATGTTAGCACAATTTTTAAATTACACACCATACCTCTGTACTTAAAGAAGGTGATGTGTGATATTTAACAAGAGGAATGCACTGAGTTTTCAACTGGCTCATAAGTACATGAGCTCCATTTATAATGTTTTATTTTAATCATTATTTTTCAGATTTTTAAATAGAGTACATTCGTTAGAGCATAAGTTTAGTATATTCTTTACTATAATAAAAATTATCTCAGGCTGGACCCTTTATAAACAAAGGAGGTTTATTTGTAGCTCATAGTTTTGGAGGCTGAAAGTTGAAGATCAGGTCCATTGCTGGGGGCCACGGTAGACATCACTGCAACTGCAGGAGCATGAGTGGGAGTGACCACGTGATTAGACCAGAAGCTGGAGAGATTAGGAGCCAAGTTTGCTCTTTTCATGACATCTGGCTCTGGTGGGAGCCAGGGTCCCACCAGATAACTGCATTGGTCTTTCCTGGGGGTTGCACCACCAATGACGTAACCACCTTCCCAAGGTCACACCTCTTACAGGGACTATCCTATCACCACCTTGACACGGGATTATCAGGGACTTCTGCAGTGAGTCCCTAGTTTCCTGCAAGGTGTTAGGGAGCATGGTGAAAAAAAAAAAAGAGCGAGAGACAAATAGCAACATAATGGGGATCTGGGATGGCCAGGGAACAAAAGGCCACGAGACAGCTGGAATCTTGGCATTTATTGATCACATTTCATTGAGGAAAATGGTGAGAGGATTACATGTACTAGATAAGTAGACAGGCAGGCAAGACCTATCAAGGAGGGAATGAAAAGTCTTGTGAAAGGAATAGAATAGCCAGATCCAGGTCATGGTAAACAAGTAACCTGTTTTGTACTCAGTTTGGGGAAGGAATTTTCTCTGGCATCACACAGGCCTCAGCAGAGATATGATCTTATATCTTAACCCCACAGTCTCACAGCCACATTTTCTGACTCAACTGTGGCCATTAGTAAGGAGCAATGCTAGCCCAACACGCCACCCACTTGCTTCCATGAAGAAATGTGCACGGCCTCCGCCAGACTCACTATTCAGACCAAAAGCCAATTGAGGGAAGTCACATATATAAAACCTGCGCTGCTCTCAAGTAAACACAGTCATGTTGGTTCTGGGGGAGGCAGTGTGGCAACCCTCCATAGGAACCAAGCTTCCAGCATGTGGCCCTTGGGTATCAAACTCAAAGCATAGCCAAACCATAGTAAACAACTTTAGTTCACAGCACAACTGAGCAATTTTTAATGTCTCATCCCTAAATTTTATGACAGAGTTCAGAGCTGTATGGTAAGGGAGACACAAGGGCCAGGAGTTCAATCCCCAGGACTGCCGTGCCGGCCCCACTCCCAGGGTATGTTGAGACAGGATTCAGACTGGGCTTGGTGGCATGTGCCTGTAAGGCCAGCACTTGGGAGGCAGTAAACAGGAGGATCACTACAAGTCTAATCTACACAGTGAGACCCTGTAGACCCTGTAGACCCAGTTGACCCTGTCCTTAAAAAAAAAAGAAAAAGAACTGTATGGTAAATTTAACTTTTATCTTCAAATTAGTGACTATTGGGGACATGGTTCAGTGGAATATGAGCTTCCCTGGCAAGCACAGGGGACTGAGTTCAATCCCTGGTTCTGCCAAAAAAAAAGATTTTTGCAACATATAAACGCTAAATTGGCAGCCATTTAGTAAAAGACTTTGTTTTACTATCTGAAGAAGTAAATAAATGTCTATTAGTAAATACCTTTTAGCATATTGCATCTTCATTGGCATAGAGTGCATATGTCATCGTAATAGCAAAATAACATTTACTAAACATTGTCACTGAGCAACTTTGACTGTGGTCTTCTAGAGTAGTTTCACATTTTTTTCTTAAAAATATAGCTGCATCTGAATAATTTCAGGAAAAATCTGGCAACTTTAGGATTTAGCTTGGAAAGATAAGGTCAGAAGGAGGGAAATCTGGAGCACTATTAAGGAAACAGCCATGGGAGTCACAGCTTCTGACACTGACTATTTTCAGGTTCAGTTTCATCTGACAACTATTCTGTGGGGGACTGTGAGAAACGACTGTCCTCCAATCACTTTACTCTCCTTCTCAGGACTGCCTGACTGGATTCCTGATTGGTCACCAATGAAAATGTATCTCTCACTTGAGTTGCTGATAGGTATTGGCTGGCAGCTAGATAAATCTGCTATTCCTGATAAATGCTTCGAGTACAGTTAGTCTTTTTTGTTGCTTGGTGCAGAGAAATAGATTCAGGTTTTGAAAGGTAAGCAGTAGATCTGATTTATGCATAGAAGTTGGGAAACCAGACGAAGATAAATCTGAACAAAAAAATTCGTACCTTGATTAAGGCAAGGCATTCCTGGGAGGAAGGTCATGGTGTCCTCAACAGTTCTATTTTTACTCTGTCATATCAACACATATGAAAGCTTTCAATTTCCAGCACCATGCAAAACATGGAAAAAATTTTGCCTTAATTTTAAAGCC